GGTTCACAAAAATCACAGCAAGAGGAAGAGAGGGAGGGCGGGAAAGACGAAGCGCACGAAGAAAGATACAGTTACGATGGCGCCTGCCCAAAATTACAATTACACCAACAATTACAGGCGCCGATTAATCAGAGTTCCGTTGCAGCCGCGCGAAGAAGCGCGTGAACAAAAAGCGCCGCGCCGCTGGAAAAATCCTAATTACTAAATTCCTAAATTCCTATCTAATGCGAAAAAGCAAAAAGCACAAATTCCAGAAGGAATGTCTAAAATTCCGAGAGCCATCGGGGCTCAACAAAAATTCAAAAAGGTTTCAAAAGAAAATTAAAAAAGAGCGCAGCAATTTCCCGCGCGATGTCCGCGCCCAAAAGATCGAAACCGAACCGAAAGAAACGACGTCGACATTTATTAATCGCATGCGCGGTGGCGTGCCAGACATCCATCCGACCAATCACTCAACCGGCCGTCCCATGACACACCCAGCCCCGAAGAAGCGACGAAAAAGACGAAAAAGCAAGGGTACAGATGCAATTTTCCACCGATCCCGGGAAATTGGCCCAATCTTCCCAGCGTAGGACCCCTCGTTGCAACCGCGCAGAAACTCGCGCGTTACAGAAAGTGGTTCGTCACAACCTTCCATCAGAATCCCAAAAGAAGTCTCGAAAATGCACTGAGAAGGTAGGCGAAAACAGGATTGACGCTCCACCCTTAGTTCCCCTAGTGGGAGCCCAAGACTGTGGGCCGTGCCACCACATCTGTCGGGTAACAGCAACCCGATCTAGCTTCGTTTCCTGCAGGCAAACAATTTGTGCACCATGATTCCTAGCAATAGCCTTGGTCAGTGATCGTTTGTAGGCGACCGATGTTGACCCTATCCCTCTGACGTTCCAAGATGCGATTCTCACCACATCCATGTACAGCAGAGAAAGTCGCAAGGGGAGAAAAAAAGGGGAGGAAGTCTAGTGGAGTCTGTAGTATATGTCTGGGTTGCTCTTCTGCTTGGTTTGTCATATTAACATAGTTAACTCGTAGATTACAATTTAGACAAGGGGTATAGGTTAGACAAGGTTTGACGGTTTCCAAGATTGAGGAACAAGTTGGTTCATTTCATAAGCTAAACCGGCTGATGCTGCCGGGATAACTCTGGGTGGAATTGTGAGGTCCCCGGCCTCACCTCATATGGGCCTCGCCGCACTACAGTCGAAAGAAGAAAAAATTTGATGGCTGTCAGAAGAAATTTGACAGCCTCCATTCGACAGTTTGCCCCCCTTTAGCCACAAAGCACTGTAGAGTGCACGCACTTGTGAATGCAAGATGGAAAAAGACGAACG